TGTGAGATGGTGAGTATTGTGAAATGTGAGTGTGGTGTTGACCACTCATGAATTGATGTAATGATGATAATCAAACATGGCATTGCAGTAGTGAATTAAAACAGTAGAATGAATGACCAAATCACCACAGAATATCCCGAGTAAATATTTTTTCCCTGTGATCCTCTGTTAATGGCCACCGAAGGCAAGGGACTGGATGTCATAATTACACAAATTGTTATCATTTCATTAGTGCTTATCCTGAGAATTCTCCAATCTAATAAAGAATTTGAATGCAAGAAAAGATGACAAGAATTTCTTGCTATTCATCATGAGTATGGAAAAAAAAAACAAGGACAAAGAGGACAGGTTTTGCCACTACAAATTGCACTCATTGCTAGTCTGTGATATAATATGAAGACACAGATCAAGATATATTAAAAAACATTAACTAGGTAACTAATTAATTAAACAGGAGTATCGAGATAAAATGAACGTCAGGATACTGCGCTTGATATTGGTATACATCATGGACTTATCCTTCTTCAGCCAGTCGGGCAACTGGAATTCCACAGGGTGGTCACCAAGCTCCTGGAGCATATGCTCAAATATCTGGCCCACGCTATTACACTGCCAGCCAAAGAGATACAAGGATGAGATTCAGGTTGCTTATTAAGCAACTACAATAGAACACTGCTGGTCTCAAAACTTATATCTCAGTACATTCACATATTAGAGACCTAAACAGTAAAAAAGAGAGAAGAAAAACCTTCTTTTTCATGATAGGATTTCTATGCTAGGCACTTCCCAAGAAACTGAAGCCTCAAATAGCCAGATGCTAGCCACACTTGTGTAGGAGGGAGGAGGGAGGATACTAGTCCTCTTCCTCCTTTGTCCTGTATCAGCAGCAAAATTGGTTGTAGGGCTTAATTCATGACATGTTGCACTTCATAGAATTAGATGTTAAACTAAGCATGCATTTTGCATGCTCTATTCAATTTCATCTGCTTCCTGCATAAAATCATAGAAGTTTTCATTTAGTAAACTATTGTTTTCAGGATACATGAAAAAAAGTTAAATTAGGACATCAGAAACTTTTCCCTAGTGCGACATAAGATGTAAGCTAGTTTTCTGAATTACAAAACATCTGGGTTTAAAATATTGAAGCATGCTATATATTATTATTTTGTATAGTTTTAACAGAATACAAATTTGTACCAAAGTTTTTAGTGTTACATACTTGGACATGACATGTCCTTTAGCTATGATTTGAACACTCCTTGTTTTATCGAAAAAGAAAAATACAGCATCCATTTAAGCACAATGAGGGTTTAGAATGAATCTATAAAGGAAGAATAATACAAAAGAGAACTATTTTACTTCCTTTATTGACCTTCAAAAAAAGACTTGAAGAATATATTAACATACAAAATCCTATTTCTTTAGACATTTAAAGTATAATTTAGAAGCAAGAATGAAATGGGATTACACTTTTTTATCTTCCTCTTGCATTTCTCATCTTAATACCAGAGAGTGAAAGAATTACAGTATTTCTTCATGAATTTAAGCTAATTCGAGAAAATAAATAATATCAAGATGGATGATGAGTGTCCACAGCAAATTGGAAATCACAGTAATATATTAAGCACCATACTACCAAACTAAAGTCCAGAAACAATAAAACAAATAAGTTAACAAGCTTATGCTGTTAGTAGGAGCTTATTCTTAAAAGCTTTTAAGCTAGGCTAACTTTTGACAGCTTTTGACTTTTATGACAAAAATTTAATAAAATTTGTATTGGTCAAAAGTCATTACTTGATCAATCCTAGCTTATTTAGATGAGCTTATAAGTTAGTTTTTCATAAGTTGGGGAATCCAGCCTTTTCAAATGGCACTTAAAAGCTAGCTTATTTGCGATGTTACCAATGGGTTAGATATGAATAGGCTAGCTTATAAGCTACTTTGACCCAAAAAGTAAGCCCTTCCAAACACCAATATTCTCCTGCATTTCTCATAGTAATAACAAAGTGTAAGGAAAATAAAATAATTTATTCATGAATTTAAGCTAATTGGAGAAAATAAATACCATCGAGACAAATACCCACAGCAAATTGGAGATCATAGCATGATAAGCACCCCACTACCAAAGTAAACAATATTTTCCTTCATATTCTATGTTTAAATGGAAAAGTTCAAAGCTCTCATGAAATTAGACATGCGGCTATAGAATAAAGAAAATATCGAAAGAGAAAAAGAAACTGAATTACATGATTTTGAAACAAGAGCACAAATAAGATTACAAAGTTTTAATTGTTCTCTTGCATTTTTCTTAATGGCATAAAGTAATAGAATTATATGATTTTTCCTTGAAATTTAAGCTATAAATAGAAAATAAATAACATCAAGATGAATACACACAGCAAAGTGGAGAAAAAAATTAGCATGATAAGCACCCAAACTAAAAAGCTTTTCCATCACATTCTATGCTTAGATTGCAAAGTTCAAATCTTTTCATGAAATTTAACTTATGGCTATAGAATAAAAATTAAAAAAAGGAGAAAAAAGAGAAACAGGATCATACGATTTTGAAACAAGGGAAATGAGAGTACAAGTTTTGTTCTTTCTCTTGCATTTTCTTGGCTTAATAACAGGTAATAACAGAATTACACAATTCTCCGTGAAAATTCAACTTATTAGAGAAATAAAAATAAACATATGCTACCACCTCGATCAGAGACCAAATTACCATGATAAGCACAATACTACCAAACCAAAAAATCTTTTCCATCACATTCTATCTCTTGATTGCGAAGTTTAAATCTTTCTAGAAATTTAACTAACTTATGGCTATAGAACAAGAAAATAAAGAAATAAAGAGAAACAGTACTACATGAATTTGAAACAAGAACAAAAACGATATTACAAGTTTGGTCTTTCTCAGTCATTTCTACCCGAAAGTAAATGAATTATATGATCTTTCCATGAAATTCAAGCTTTTCCTAGAGAAAATAAATAACATCAAAAACAATGCCCACAGCAAACTGCAGATCAAACTAGCATAATAAGCACCAATACTATGAAACTAAAGATCGTTTCCATCACATTCTATGTTTAGATTGCAAAGTTCAAATCTTTCATGTAATTTAACTTATTGCTATACGATAAAAGTAAAAAATCTTGAAAAAGAGAAACAGAATTACACGAACTTGAAACAAGAATGCAAATGAAGCCACAAGTTTTGATCTTTCTCCGGCATTTCTACCATAGAGTAAGAGAATATATGATCGTTCCGTGAAATTTAAGCTTACTAGAGAAAATAAATAATATCAAAACAAGTGCCCACAGCAGACTGGAGATCGAACTAGCATAATATGCACCAAACTGCGAGACTAAAGAATCTTTTCCATCACATTCTATGTTTAAATTCCAATGTTCAACCTGCCATGAAAATTGAGCTAACTGCTATACGATAAAAGTAAAAAATCTTGGAAGACAAAAAAAGAAACATAATGACAAGATTTTGAAACAAGAACGCAAAGGATATCAAACTTTTATTCTTTTCTCTTGCATATACATAAAAATAACAGAAAGTAACAGAATTGTATGAGTTTCCCTGAAATTTCAACCAAGTAAGGAAATTGGAGATGAAATTAGCATGATAAGCAACCTACTCCCCAACTAAAGAATCATTTTTCCTTCACATTCTCCGATTAAACTGTAAATTTCAATTCTCTCAACACAATTTAACTTGTGGCCATGGAATGCAATTGAGAAAAAAAAAGGAATTCAAGAAAAAATAGAAGATAAAAAGAAGAATGAGAATCACCCCGGGTCCCGCTCTGACGATGCGGAGGAATCTAGACTTGTCTCCGGAAAATTCGCTGGATTTCGCCGGAGGAAACGGAATCTGTCGCCGGAGAAGTCGTCGCCGCTTCTGCTGCTTAGATTTTAGGGCTAGATTTGGGGGCGAGCGAAAAGATACAGGAGTGGGAGCTAACTGGTCAGGAAATGGGTTTGGGTCGGGTCAAAATTGGATCCAGAGCGAACTGGATCCGAAAGCCATCTTTTGTGATGCGGAGCAACAGAGCTTCGGTTTGAACCGATTGATCGGCCTAAGAGACCACATTTCATGGTCCCGTTCAGTTTTCAATCCGAACCGTTCTCTAAACTTTTCCCGTCTTTCTTTATTTTGTTTATGAGTCCACATAGATATTTCCTTTTCCTTCTTTCCTTAATTGCTTGTTTATCACATCACTTTCTGTTTTCTCATTGATCTCTCCATCCACGTGGTTTTTCATTGAATCCTAAAAACGACGCCATTTTAGAGGTTAAAATAGCTATGTCTAGCTAAAGAGGTCCAAATCCGTAACCGAATAGATCAAACTATTTTATCAGCTGGCTTAGTTTGGTTGCAAATCTGTAACGGTTTGTTTCGATGGAGTTTCATCAATATTTTTTTCAAGACCAATCATTTGCTCAATCCTAATTTTAGCTATCCATTGATCGGGTTGGATTTTGTACAGACTGAAGCCGGTCCGAAAAGCACAAATAAAAGGATAGCTATATGTAATTGGGAGAAACAATTAAAAGATTTTTTTTTTTTTTTCACTTGCGTGTTTGACAGTCGGAAGGTACATATAAAGTGGATTGAGAGTTGTTGCGGGTAGCGGAAATTTCGGCAGCACTTCGGCAGCACAACAAGAGAGTCAGATCACAATAAGAATTCACGTCTAACCAAGGAGACAAGAATCTGAAGCGGATATCTCAACCAAGTGAGATATCGGCTCTTCCTCTCATCAGTTCTAGGACTGACCTGTCGAGGGATCCTAAAAGCTATTACAAATCACACAAAAGCAGTACAACCAATTTTTACGTGGTTCAGCAAATTGCCTACGTCCACGGGGCAAGGAGGGGGGAGATCTACTATTAGAGGGGAGAATACAACTAGGGTTTACAATCACTCAATCTAAACCCTCACACAATCTCTCAAACCCTCATACAAATATCTCTCAAAGGGATGCACAAAACCCTAAAAGAGACTACACAAAATCTCCTCAACTGCAGCCGCTATCTCCTCTCTGCCTTCGTACTTGCTCAGCCAAATTGAAGACAGCCGCAAATCAAGTCCTTACTTCTGTTCCCAAAATCAAGTCCTTGCACTCGGTTCTGTATCGCAGCCGCAAAAAAAAAAGAAAAAAAGAAATCAAAATCTCCCTTGCACAGAACCCTAGGAACAAGTTTTGTTCCTATTTATAGCCTGATAGCTATTACCGAAAGCGGGTGGGCCTGTTAACAAAATTCGTGGGCATTTGTTCACTTCCGTGGGCATCTGACACACTCACGTGGCCTTCCTTCATGGGGTGGGTCCCATGTCCTCACAATTCTCCACCTCGGTGAAGTTTTCTTAAAAAACTGAGCCGACACCAAAGCAACCAAATGTCCCACTTGTTGTGTCCAGTACGAACTCAATCCACAACAAGTCGAGAACCCGAACGAGAGTCCAAACAATCTCACCCCCATCAACTAATCCAAACCGGCTGCATCAAACATGACTGCCTACGTATCCTCTTGCCCAAGGAATCAAGCCGAACGTAGTCCAAATGGTCGTCAACGGCCTCAACAATCACGAATATGCAACAAGTTTCGACAATGATCAAACTTGTTGCTCGGAACCACCTTAGTGAGCATATCCGCCGGATTATCCTTCGTGTGGATTTTCACAATCTCCACATCACCATCTTCAAGAACATCCCGAACGAAGTGATAACGAACGTCAATGTGCTTCGTCCGCGCATGAAAAACCTGATTCTTCGCCAAATAGATAGCACTCATGCTATCACAATGAATAGTGACGGACCTCTGTGATATACCAAGTTCCTCCAAAAGTCCTCGAAGCCAAATAGCCTCCTTCACAGCCTCTGTAACTGCCATATACTCTGCCTCCGTCGTAGACAAAGCCACCGTCGACTGTAAGGTACTTCTCCAACACACCGACGCACGGGTTAAAGTAAACACATACCCCGTCGTAGACCGGCGCTTATCCAAATCCCCGGCATAATCCGAATCAACATAACCAATGCATAGCTGCCCACCTGTAGAATCCCGCTCATAAACTAAACCAACATTGAGCGTACCTCGAATGTACCTCAAAATCCATTTCATGGCGTCCCAATGACCCACTCCTGGATCATGCATGTATCTCGAAACCATGTTTACCGCTTGTGATAAATCTGGCCTCGTACATACCATCGCATACATCAAGCTTCCAACCGCGCTCGCATATGGAGTCTTCGACATCAACTCACGATCTTCAACTGACTTTGGTGAAAGACCAGCTGAAAGCTTCAAATGGGCTCCCAATGGTACACTAACTGGCTTCGTATCCATGCTAACATGGAATCGCTGTAGAACCTTCTTCAAATAAGCCATCCGTGTCAAACAAATTCTACCCTTCTTCTTGTCTCTGCCGATCTCCATCCCTAGAATGCGCTTCGCCTCACCCAAGTCTTTCATCTCAAACTCATTTGATAGCTGAACTTTCAACTCATCTATAGCCGACCTAGAAGTAGAGGCAACCAATATGTCATCGACATAAAGTAACAAATAGATGTACGCACCTCCTTTCAACTTGCGAAAATATACGCAAGGATCAAACTGGCTCCGGGTGTACGAATGACCAAGCATAAAACCATCAAATCGCATATACCACTGTCGAGGAGACTGCTTCAAACCGTATAGCGATTTCTTCAGTTTGCAAACTAATTTTTCCTTCCCTGCAGCTCGGAATCCTAATGGCTGGGTCATATATATTTCTTCATCAAGACCACCATGAAGAAATGCCGTCTTTACATCCAACTGATCTAACTCTAAATCATACTGTGCCACCAAAGCTAGCAAAATCCGAATTGAAGAGTGCTTCACCACCGGAGAGAAAACCTCATTATAGTCAATACCTTCCTCCTGTGCATAGCCCTTCGCAACCAACCTAGCTTTGAACCTCAATGGAGTGCCCTCAATGCCCTCCTTCTTCGTGTATACCCACTTGCAACCAATTGCCTTCCGTCCCTTTGGAAGCTCCATAAGCTCCCATGTATCGTTCTTATGAAGAGATTCTATCTCCTCCTGCATAGCTACCTGCCACGAATCAGCCTCCGAACTCTGCTCGGCCTCTCTGAAAGTAGTAGGTATCAACTCATCGATACTCTGTACCGGAAGTGCATACGCAACTGTGTCGGCATACCGTGCTGGCATCTGTATGTTTCTCCTCTGTCTCCTAGCCGCAATAGAATCCTGAACTTGAGCCGTCGGTTCCTGATCCTGCATATTTGTACTCGTACCCTCCGTGTCACCGTCGTGCTCGCCTGGCGTCACCTCAGTCGGCACATGCATGGATACTGTACCATCTGGACAATGTGGAGTTGCATCGATCTCCACCACCTGCGATATCTCCTCCGTCGGATCACTCTCCACCTGATGAGAGCTGGGAAGCTTTAAGATAGAAGCTTCATCAAACGTGACATCCCTACTCAGCATAATCTTCTTATCAACTGGATCCCAAAGCTTGTATCCCTTGACACCACGCTTGAATCCTACAAATATGGCCTTCCTAGCTCGAGGTTCCAATTTATCAGTTCTAACATGATAATATGCAGGGCACCCGAATACCTTGAGCTGGTCATAGTCATGTGCTGGCTTTCCCGACCACATCTCCATAGGGGTTTTCCCCTCAATCGCAGATGAAGGCAGCCTATTAATGAGGTGGCTCGCATATGTAAGTGCCTCAGCCCAAAAGATCTTCTCCAAACCACTCTGCGACAATAAGCATCGGATCTTCTCCAGTAAAGACCGATTCAACCTCTCTGCCACCCCATTTTGCTGCGGTGTATGACTAACTGTGAAGTGTCTCTCTATGCCCTCGTCTCGACATAGCTGCTGAAAGGGGTCAGAAGTATACTCACCACCGTTGTCGGATCGCAACGTCTTGATCTTTCTCCCAGTCTGCAGTTCCAATCTCTTCTTCCACTCCACAAACAAATCTAGGACTTCACTTTTCTTCGTCATGGTGTACACCCAACAACGCCTAGAATAGTCATCTACAAAAGTGACGAACCAATGTCGACCACCAAGTGATGCAGTCTTGGTGGGACCCCAAACGTCTGTGTGCACGTAGTCCAGGATGCCCCTCGTCTGATGAATGGCAGTTCCGTACTTCACCTTCGTCTTCTTGCCAAGAACACAGTGCTCACAGAACTCAATCTTCCCACTCTTGGTTCCCTTCAATAGCCCCTGCTTGCACAATGCCTGCAGTGACTTTTTACCTGTGTGCCCCAACCTATAGTGCCAAAGTCTGCTCATGTCCGCTTCTGAAATATTAGATAATACAAATTTCGATTGCGAACTTCCTTCATCACCACCAATGATCCCTTAGTAACCTTCGCTACAGCGTTTTCAAAAGTCACATTGAATCCCTTCGCCTCCAAAGCTCCAACTGAGATAAGATTTTTCTTCAGTTGAGGAACAAATCTCACCTCCTTCAATTCACGGACTATTCCATCGTGCATCCGGATCCATACGGTACCTATCCCACAAACGCCACAGGATTGATCATTTCCCATGACAACAACGCCCCCGTCGACTTTCTCAAAAGATGCAAACCAGTCTCGCCTAGGGGTCACATGAAAAGTAGCGCCGGAATCAAGCATCCAATCTGATGCATCCACATGGTTCACCTCCGGAGTAATCAGTAGAGAAAAGCACGAATCATCGGAATCATCGCCTTTCGCAATGTTCACCTCATTGGCCTTCGGGCCCTTTTTCTTGCCATTCTCTTTCTCCTTGAGCTTCGGGCAGTCTCTCTTCCAATGTCCATGCTCCTTGCAGAATACACATTGGTTCTTTGTTAATTGGTGGCGGCCTCTAGACTTTGACCTTCCTCTATTACCACCTTTCGGATATGGGCTTCTACCTCTCGTCGACAATGCCTTGCCTGAAGTGCTAGCACGGGAAGTCTCCTTGTCCTTCCTCCTCAAATCATAGTTCGTCAAAGCGTTAGTCACTTCACTATAGCTGATAGAAGATCTCTCG